TACGTCCTATAAAATCTGAAGTGTTTTTGAAAAAACCTACCACAAGTTTCCTTTTCCTACTATCTAAAGCATCTTGATCTGTTAAGCAATGTTAACGGTACGCGAAGTAACAAGTTTTCCTTTTCGTTTTTACAATTTCGTCGGTATAAAACTATTCCAATGGGATGACAACGACACGCTTAACAAACGTCAAAAATACACTTTGATTTTAACTCTAATAATATTCGTTATGAACTTTCTTTGCAAGTTTTCTTGCTTCCTCCTAAGAAAATACGAGGATGCTCAAGAGCTAACAAAACTTATATCATATTTTGGATTTGCCGTTAATGGTGTATTCAAAATGCTTTCAGTATGGATCGGTCGCGAGACTTTACATGCAGTCATTAAAGATTTAGAGAAGAATTTCCCTCGAACATCGAGCGAGTGCCATGAGTACAAGTTTTATGAGCAATACGCATTTGTTAAGCGACATATGTATCTACTCTCTCTTATCCATTGGAGTATTGCTATTGTCTTTATGCTATTTCCCATTGTCCAGTCGTCCTTCGAATATTTGGCCAATTTTAATGGCAATGGAAAATTTATTTATCGTTTCCCGTATATAATGACTTATCCATTTGATCATCACACGCCAGCCGGATTTATATTTGCGTATATTACGCAATTGATTGGTGGTATCACGGTACATTCTTATTTTTGTGGATCAGATTGTTTACTTTTGGCCACCATACACTTGGTTAATATGCAATTCGTCTCGCTGGCTCTGCGTATTAAGAAATTCAAAGCCCAAACATATGAGAAGGACTTAGAGCAGCTGAGGAAAATACTCAAAGTACATATAAGCGCCCATCAGTGAGTTAGCGGTTTGGAGAACAGAAAAAAAAAAAAGGAAAAAATCCTTTCTTTTTTTTTCTACCAACAAAGTGCAATTATTGGCATTTATTATACCCATCAGCGAAGGATGAGAGGGGCCTATTTCGTCAAAACGCCTAGAAGGAAGCATCAGAGACCGCACAAAGTGTATACATTCGTGATCAGCATCAAATCCTAAAGCGATTTAAGCATGTCCGTCTGTTAGTGTGTGTAACGTCTGTTGTAAATATTCTCCTGCAAAAATGAAGCTACCGACCTCAAATTTGGCAGAAGAGTGAAGAATGACCCAAATCGGTCGCAGGACATGCCCGCAGTACCACGTACACTGAGAACATCTCTGTTTTTAGAATGAAAAAATAAAAAAAAAACTACAGCAGATGAATCTACAAAAATTTGACTGTACATTCTACGGGGAATGCTGTAGCATATGTGTTGGAAAGAAGTTACCACGGCCCCTACCCAATATTACAGTGTATCAAAATTTAATGGTTTTTTCGATACCTTTATACGAATTTTTGGACAGTTTCAAATCTTGAATGCATGTCCGCCTGTGCGTCTGTCCATCTGTCTGATTGCGCAACTTTGTAGTATTTGCGGTAAATACTCTCCCGTTGGCGAAAATGAACACGAAATGAAACGCCGACAGATTTGCAAAAGAATTTGAAATTGACGCCAACTTTTCAAAGGACACGCCTACAACGGGCACATGCCTATATGACAAAAACTTTTATTTGCATTCATTAGCATAAAAATTTAGTTCTTTTACTTTTTTGTCTTTTTTGGGGTAAACAGTGATGGGTATAAAGGATTCGGGCCCGACAGAATTTAATTTTCTTATTTATTTTCTTTAGAAATGCAAAGCTTGTGAATGATGTTTTTAGCGTATCGATATTCTTAAATTATCTCATCTCAATTGCGGTACTTGTGATGATTGGCGTTCAAGTTATTAGTGGATCCGAATTTTGGGATTTATCCAAGTTTTTGGGTTTTTTAATATCATCCGTTAGTCAAGTTTATTATATATGTTTGTATGGTTCGTTGTTGCTCGATTACGTAAGTATACCGAACGGTTAAAATGTTTTTAATTAATTACAAATCTCTTTAATCAACTATTTATTGCGCAGAGCGGCAAAATTGGTGAAGAAATGATGAGCCAGGAATGGTATTTGGCAGATAATCGTTATCAGCGTATGTTGATTTTGGCAATTGCACGTTCTCAACGTCCAGCTCATTTAACAGCTTATAAATTTTTTATGATCTCTATGGAGAGTTTCGCCAACGTACGTTCAAATCATTTGACGAGGAATTCTTCGTCGTTCCCCTTTCTATTTATATTTAACACATATTCTTATTAGTTGTTTTTCTGTTTTTCTATAGCTCATGACAACATCCTATCAATTTTTTACTTTACTTAAAGCTCGCATGGAAGAACATAACTGAGAAAATTGTATGGAATCGATAAAGTTTACTATAATTTTTATTATAATTCATTTTCACCAAAGCAATAAATTGTCGGATTAAAGTGAAATGATTACTAGCTGCTACTACTAAGACAGCGAGTTCTTTTTTTCAAAAGGATAGAGTAGAAGCTTGGTCGAGTCGATTTAATAAAGTTAAATATTTCATGCATATTAGGTTGTCCAGGTGCCGTTAAGATATCCGTAGGTCGCGCTCATGTTCGTAGATTATATGTATATAATGTGTGTGTGTGTGTGTACGTGTAATATTTCACCGATTTTAGGTTGCCATGTACCGTCAAGATATGTTTAGTATTCTGACACAATGAGGCTCATTTTCGTAGGTTAGACGTACATGTGTGTATGTGTGTGCATATAATACTTATATATATTTCTACATTATATTTATTCTTCATTGTATAAAAAAAATTTACAAATTAAATCTATCTGCAAGACCTGGGAATATAAACCCGGCCTCATTGAGTTCACAGCCGCAGGTGTAGAGGCTTCGAATACTTAACTTCGAGTTGTGGAAAGGTTTTAGCATTCATCCTTAATTACGATCGAGTTACTACAGTATTTTAATTTAACTTAGATCCTTCGGCCATCTTGCTTAAGTTTTTTCTTTAATCCCTGTTAAATTTGTTTTTTGTTTTCTTTTTCTTTTAATATGACCAATCATTGAGGGAATGTTTCTTATTCATCGAACACAGTGACTGGTGTTTAAGAAAGAAGCTGACTAGGTTTCTGAAGTCATTGTTTTATTTTATTTGAAACATTAAACTGCTCTTGTTTAGGATTTTCATAGTACACCTTATCTTATCGATGTGCAAGTAACACACGATAAGAAAACCTTAACCTTGCCTTGTGGCAGTACTTTGTTAGTTCGTTTTATAAAAGTAAAATAGTTCTTCTAATAGCTTCAGAAACCTTCAAAAAAAGTTGTTAATAAAATTTTGCGATGTTGAGTAAACTTTTAATGCATTATTCGACTTCAAAGTGATGTGCTTTACGTAATTACGAGTAAATCTTCTAAGTGTAGCTTACAACATTTATGGTATAGGGAAAGCTTATGAGAGGGTATACGGTAACTAAAAGGAGTTATGATAGATCTAACTTTTATTGTATCGAACGATTCAAAATCAGTTTTTGAATCAATGGCTATTCATGTAATTTTTATTATGGTATATTAATGCTTACGTACTTTGGTCCAAAGACGGGGCATTGGTTTGAATCGAATCGCTCTTCGGACCACCCTTTATTTACCTTTATTTAATATTAAAATGTCGCAAAAATTGTTAGATAATAATGTTTCAGATGTGAAAAGTCTTGAAAACTTAGGTGTGATGAAGAGGTCTAATTTTTCATATTCTATATAACAAAGAGTCGTCCGTATTGGGCGATTTGACTGAACCAATTCACACTACAAGTTCTCCGCACACCTTGAATAAGGCATGGACCTGCTTTTTAAGCCTCTAAAGAAGGTGAATTCTTAGTAGTGAAGTAGATGTCGGCAGATGAGGGTAGAGAAGGTATGGTTTCCGCGTCTAGAAAGAAATGGTGAAAATCGTAATTTAAGGGAAATATTGAACGATGGTATGTTAGTAAATTTTTAGTGAGTAAATTTTTTTGCATAGACAAGTCCGCGATATTTTCTGATCAGAGCGCTGGCCATTAGAAATCTCTGTTGATTTAATTGTTTATTGTGGTTGCTTTAGTTGTGACGTTCACGATAGTTTTTAAACGGATTAATTCAACGTTTTATAATAACCGCATAACGTTAATGTCAATTGGGTAAGTAATAACGATCATATGATATGTTGTAATTACAATAACAATTATTTATAATCTATCCTTAGTTGTTAACAGGCAAATTTCACTTCTGTAAATTTCATTAACAATTTCCAATCAAAAGAAAATCGTAAGACGGCTGGCTATCTGAAACTAAAACAAGTAAGCCGAGTGCTGCATTATCATTACATTCATGCTCATCGAGCACAAAATAATGCAAAAATGATGTTGTCTACGCCACAGCACTCATCCTAGCAGCACGAATTCAAGTGATTATTGCATCGTTTGTTCAGAGGTATATAGAAAGAGATTTCGTTCGCGTATACATCATAACTTTCCTTTTTATTTAACAAATAGAGTAAAACGCGGTATAATTAAAAATTATTTAAACTCGGTATTGCATGCAAGCCGTAGCACATTTTTATAGTTATGTACGACTTAACTTTAACTTATATGCACAGAGGCAAGTATCAGACAGCAGCAGCAGCAGCAGCAGCAGCACCAGGCATAAGGTTTATAATGTGTGTACATGTGGTAGTAATAATTTGTGATGTAGCAATTAATGTATAATCAATTAAATGAAATTAATAGAAAATGTTTTTTTTTTATTTTTTTTATTTAACTAAGTGAGTTTATTTTGCATATGTATATAGACGAGGCCGATGCATTAACAAGATAAACATGAGCAGATCATCCATCAACAATGCTTTTAAAGTCTTAAAGTATTATTCATATTAGAAATATATGCAAAGTAATATAATAAGTGAAAACGTTGCAGTTGAGCAAGGCCGACCATTCAACGCTTGACAACAGTTTCGCCTAATACTATTCTTCATTTATTCTTGCGATAAATGATCAAAAATATAGTAATGACATGACAATGAGTTTGATCCCACCTCACCATAACCACTTATCATCTTCAGGACTATTTTTTATCAACGCTGTTAAATTGCGGAACTCACTACCTCTCGATATCAAAATAATTGTTCGCCAAAGTAGGTAAAAAGTGGCAATAGAAGCCTTCTATAATCTATAATTAGTTCTGAATTAGTACTGAATCTACGCCTAGAATCGTGAAGCGATCTAATAAATGTAGTTATTGATTGCTTGTAATATAAACTTTAACACCGTTCCCCGTGTACAGAATGTAGCAGAATGTGTCTAACGAAGTTGATAAAGCACGGAAGGTAGGGCTGATTGGAGATATCATTTTTGGTAGAATTCTTCGTAAGTAAATTCCGTTTGGTTTTATTATTATGGATGATGAGAAATGTATGGCTTTCCGCGATATCAACCCTCAATCCTCAAGCTCCTACGCATTTTTTCATATAATATGTCGAAAGCGAATTACGATGTCGCCAGATGTCGAAAACAACTATGGCGATTTGCTCTGTCTTGGACTCGGTCATGGTGTTAGTTGTTGGCAAAGTTGCTAAAAAGTTGGCTAATGGCTATCGTGTACTAATTAGTAACGGCAACAATGACGCTCAGTTTGTATATCGTTTGCAATTGCACTTCCTAGGAGGTGACCAAATGAAATGGCCACCAAGCCAAGTGAGCTTCTCCTGTGCTTCATTAGATCGAGCCATATTGATGTTTGAATTTTTTTTGTATTAAATAAACATACAGCTTAGCTTTAATCTAATTTTGATATAAATATCTGATATTACTGTGGTTCAGAGTCACTCTTAACTATAATGATGATTATAATTTGATAATTATAGCGTCATTAATAATTATCATTATCGACTAATAAAGTAAACTAAACTAAAACAAGTAGGAACACTATAGTCGGGAAAGGCCTATTTTTAAACAACACCCCACACCACTTTTGTCTAACGCAATGTTTAATTGCTGTTACAGGTTAATTTTCATCTCCACATACTAATGCTTAGACTTTTCTGCTTTTCAAAGGATCAATTTTCGTGAAAATCCTTATTAGGATAGGATTCAAAAGTTAATCTGAGAAGGTCCAAATTTGGTCCAGCTCACTTTTTTATGTTAAATTACTGCCAAGACATAGTTTTCATCCCGAAGCATCGAATATTATACTTTTTTTCGTACGAATTTCAGATTTCGCTATATGAGACGGGGTTCAAAAATTGCCCCCCCCGGCCCAAAATCATCACATCAATTTGAAATGGCGAAATAATACTACTTAGCCACTTTTTCCAAAGAATTTTGAAAATTGCATTGTTTTCCATATAACGACTTTTCAGAGTAGAGCGTTATATAAGAAATGGAGGAGCGATCGAAAGAGTGGACTGAACCATTTTCAGTAGCGTTCGTCCTTGGGTCAAAACTGTACCCAATTTCATTGAAATATCTCAAAAATTGCGACCTCAAATGGACAGACAAACTTAGATCAATTCAGGTTATATTCTGGATCGATCGGTATGACAAAAGATCGGTTTATATTAGGACTTTCTGCGTGTTACGTCGGCATTAAGTTAATATGCCTTGTTCCACAAGTGCTCTACGATATAATTATACTTTATTGTCATGTAAAGGCTGGCTTTGCATGTAAATCGTTATCTTAGATGTGATACAAAATGAAAATTAATTTTCTTGCAAAAGATCTCTTTATTCTGTTCGTATTCGTAGCAGTTTAGTTGATACGGACTAAATTAAAACACTATACTTAAATGTCCTTTACTCCATCGCCAAATACAACTATTGAGCTATCTTTGTTCTAACGCGAGCTGAAAATTACATCGTGTTGTCGTAGGTAAGCTTACCTTTTATGATAATGCGTGCTCCAAACAAAGTAGATTTATACGTGAAAACACTATTTGATCGAACTTTTTGTAGGCATCGCCGTTATCTTAAAAGAAACAGAAAAAGTAAAAGAACGGGCAGATGGACAGACGAACTGGTGGACATGTTCAGATGCATTCAAGATTTGAAACTGGCCACGAATATGTATACTTTATGAAGTTTTTGAAGCTCGTCTCTGCGCGTTATAAAGGCATTGAAAAAATAATTAAATTTTGATGCATTATAATATTGGGTAGCGGTAGTCAATTTTTTTTCCTTTTTGTGCACAAATGCTACAGCATCGCTCACAGAATATGCGTGCAAATTTTTATACATATATTTGCCGTAGTTTATGAGTAATAAGCAAAAAATCAATTTTTCTTTCCTTTTGAAAAACGGATGTGTTCTCAGTTTATATCGTAATGTGGGTGTGGC